ACTGACATTTAATACTTGGATATTTCCTGTTTAAGTTTTTTGATTATTACTGTTAACTTTTAAAATTAACTTAGTAGCTCAATATATATATATATATATATATATAGTAAACAGAACTCAATATATGTATATAACAAAGTAAGTTCTTTATTTAATTAATAAAATTTAAAGAGAAACCAATTTTTGTGAATTCAGAATGTTTAATGTATTTACACTTCTAAAAAGTAAAAATAATAATAAAATATTAATTCATTGATAATAACTTTCTAATATTTTTTATACACTCACTATAAAATTATCTATTGAACATTTTGTTATTGTCATTATTATTATACGTAAGATACCTACAAAATTTAAAAATTAATATATGATAATCAAATTTTAATTTATTTTAAGAAAATTACCTAAAAAAGATAAATTTAAGTTAATATATCTATGAAAAAAAAAAAAAAAAAAACTTGCAAATAAATTTTATCCAAACACTTGTCTAGTAATAATGATAAATAAATACTTGGAAAGTAATGACATTATATGAAAAACTTATAAAAAAACTGAATAAATAATACCCTTGCACATCCATCTAGGAATGTGATTGAAATAAAAATGTAAAATTGCTAAACATAAAATTTACTAAAGTACTAAGTAGGTAAGCAGAAACGACTATAATGTTATCATATTTTTTTTGCAAATGCGCCAATAACGATTTGATTATTTTACGTGATTAATGAATACATTATATTCTAATAATATATTATTTTCAATACAATAATTCTTAATCTATATGCACATAGAAAATATGAATATTGCTGAAAAAACGTATACAGTAATTCACCTTTATTCATATTTTACAATTATTATCATCAATAAAAAATTAGTCATTTCAAATATTGAATGGTTTATTTGGTTTGTATATTAAAATGTGTAACCATTTTTATTCAATTTTAAAGAGGAAACGCAAGATTTTTGAAAATCTACAAATGGGGCATAGGATAGAAGAGGTTCCCAACCACTTATACATTACCTACTGACAAAGTATATATTTCATATAGCTTAGTATACAATTTTCAACATCCAAAAATAAAATATTTCAACATAATTCTCAATTAAATGTTTTAAAATAATATCAACAAATCAAAAATTCTTATATCTTAGTTCATTTAAAATCAGTTAATTTACAAAAAAATACATAATTACAATATCATCACTTGACGTTACTGAAAACATTGTTAAATTATTTAGTTATATTTTTAAGAATTTATCGTATTTTATTATATACATTGGACTTGAATTATACTTGGCCTTTGTTTGAGTTGTTAATATCTAAATATTTATAATAATCAACCAGCAAGCAGCTGACGTACATATAATGTACTAATCAATTAGCTATGTTAATGTATACATTTATAAAGATAGATAGAATAATAGATACATATTAAACAATTAAATAGTATATGACTATAATATTATCTAATATAAATATTACAACATAAAATATACAACTTTATAAAGCATTTATAAATATTTCCCTCGTATTATGCTGAAAGGTGAAGGATATGTATAGTTACTTGAACAAACAACTGAATATATTGTAATAATAATATTAGTTTAAGTATGGAATGCTATAGCTTATAGAGTATAGACGCATGATGCAACAAACTACGATATGGCTACGTCGTTTTGAGGGGACAGTTAAATAATATCGCAGTTTAAGGGGTAGAAAATGTTATTATTTTATTTTATTTTTGTGAAATAAAACTATTACATGACGACATGTTACACATTCAACCCTATTATCTAGCCTACAGTTTACCTGCTACTACAAAACGACGGAAATCCCTTAAGAGATTTAGCTGAAAGTATCCACAATTTTGGTTAAAAAAAAAAGGAAACACGATAGCAAGAATATATAGACTATCATAACCGTTTTTCATTCAACTGAGAAAGAACATTTAGATTCCAAAAATGGTGTATCGTGTACAAAACAATTTGTATTAATATTTCTTTATTCTAAATTTACTTTTAATATTATGATATTTATAAGAGTATTATTGTCAAAATAAATAGAATTTATGCTATTTATATACATTATTGTTCATCTGACACTCACAATAGTTAATATTTATATACTGCTAAAAGTTTAAAATCATGTTATTACTTTTATTTCGATGATTAAAATATCCAATTTGTTATACTTACGTATATACAACGAAAAAATTATCTTTACGTGTAGTTTAAAAAAAAGTTATTTGTTTTTTTTTAATAAAGATACAATAGCATTCGTAAATTTTTATTTCTTTCGAGCTAATTATTTTTTGTTTCAAAAACTATAAAATTAATATTTACCTTTTAGTATTATTTATTGTTTTATTTTTGTAATTTTCAACATATTCATGAAAAATGCATATCAGTAAATAAAAAAAAAAAAAAATATTATTCGTATAAAAACAAAAATTAATTATTAGAATGTTGAGTGTGTTTCAATTTTAATTAAAAATCACAATAGGCTTATAAATATTTACATTTCTATAAATATAATACTAATTAAAATTAGAAAAACGTGTGAATAAATTTTGGCAAAAATTATATTAATAGTTTAAAGTTTTTAAATGATTTTATATACTTCAATAGTTATATAATTTTAATAAATAAACATAGTTTACTTATTATCAAATAAGTATATTAAATTATTAACAATACTAAAAACTAAACCACTTATAGCTAGAACATTTTAATAATTAATGTTTTAATGTTTTAATTTTTTATAAATAAAGTTTTTATGCTACACCGGATTGAAAAAATCTCAAATATAACTACATAATTATGTAATCCATTATAGAGTAGTTATAAACGAATTATATCATATTTAAAGCCTAATAAGTAACTAAAAGTAAAAGTATTGGCTACTTTAAATTAGGACTCTAACATTTCATTTTAACTCCGAGCAGAGTGAAAAATAAATATAGTTTTTAAAAAGTTTAATATTTGTTAGTTGTTTATCACATATATAGGTAAAAAGTTACACTTAAATAGTTGCATCGCTAGTATTTTTTTTTAAATAATTTATCTCGAGAACTTTTTAGCAGCTTTCTAAATCCTGATAAAAAATGTCCGACTCTGAGTGAAATGTCTATCATCGTCGATCAGTAAAAACATTTTATCCTGAATATCAGTTGTAAAATAAAATAAATTCAAATTATATAATGCACATATAATATTTAAGTAATAATACTTTAAATATTATTTATTAATTTATGTATAGTTAATAGTAATTTTTAAAAGTATCTCTTTTTTCTTATTTTCTAATTTCATGTGATATAATTCCAAAATTCATTATATTGTAGACAAGGTTTATTTTGTAAAAGATTTTTGACAACACTCACACATTGGGCATAGTCATTTTTTCGCTCAAGTTTTTAATTGCCTTTTTTATTTAATTTTAATTTTTGTAATAATATTCTGCCGATAATTTAATGTATAGTAATTGGTTTAGATAAATTTGAAGTACCTGGAAAATTTTTCATTTAACTTAGCGATCCGTTTTGGACATTTTAGAAATTATTTTTATCATCTCAGCAATTAGGCAATTAAATTTTGGAAAATGTGCATGTAATTCTTCTTACATATTATAAAGAGTATGAGCTAAGCATGTCACATGCAAATTTTCTGGATACAATGCTTGAATACAACAGCCGAAAAAAAAATTAAAAATTCTCATAGTTAACATTCTTAGGTCATAAATTATGCATAGATTTGTCAAATAATTGAAAAGTAATACTATTTTTCACCTTGTCTAAATATTCTGTGCGAATAAAATAGATTTTATCGACATCTTGTGGCTGAAAAGTGCTAATAATGACATTTGCTACATTACGTCACAAACTGTCGGTTGTTTTACCTATGCAAAACTATATTTCTTGATCATTTACAGAATCGCGTATTTTAGCCATCGTTTTAGAGTAGTATGTATCAAGGTATTTTTTTTTTATAATTTTGATTCGTTTATAATGATTTTATTGCAATATTTTGAAAGGAATAAGCGAAAATAATCGTTATTTAATTTGTTTAAAGAAATATTCGTTGCTATAAGAGCGGAAAATAGGTTGGCATTAAAGTCAAACTTACTGAAATGTTGAATGAATGGCTGAACTGCATTATTTTTTTCTTACATTATATTTTTATATCTATTTATTTTGACTTCACACAATTTACAAAATATAATATTTTCCTCAGTTGTGATCATATCCTCACCGAATTCTTTTATGATATATTTTAATTTTAAATTAACATTTTTAACATTTGGTATCTTGACATCCAGTTCAAATTTTAAATTAAATTGTACAGAACATTGTACCTACTAACTGATTGACATTAACCGATAAACTTAAGTATTTGAACGTGCTTTACAAATACACCAATAATACAGATAGTTTTCTATTCCCTTAGGTCGTAAATAAAACTGTAATTACGGTCGTTTTGATGAAATTACAATCTAGCTCAATAACGATAGTTATTTTATCAGTCTTCTGTTTATTACTGCAGGTTTTTACTGGTTTCATTATTTCTGGCAATAACAATATATATTTTGTATTTGAAATATAATATACATAAAAATATGTTAAATTTTTATAAACATATGTAAGAAAGAAAAGAAAAAAAAAGACCTTAAGGGAACTTCAATTGTTTTACATCATTTGTAATGTTTTTTGGGTTAGATTTATATACGTGGCTTAAATATAACCGATTGAAATTCTATTATAGGGCAGGTACAAATGGTACAATACATTTAATTTGATATCATAATATTATTGATATTATTCCGTATATACTGTCATGGATTATTAAAATCGTGTACAAAATACACAATCAATAAAATGAGAGACATTAAATTTACATATTATTACGGATTCCGTGGTTATCTCACAACTTACACATATATAATAAATATTGCGATGCTATTAAATTGAAATTATTACTATTATTATTATCATTATATGTGACAGGTATGTTTGTTGGACGGCATACTTGCTACGTTACCACGGAAAAACGGGTCACGTAGAACCGGTGCCATTGCCAGGTGCACCATTTAGTCACTATTACGCAACTGATGCAACTGACGAAGGGATTATAATGGAAACCGACATAAGCGTCAAAGAGGTAAGTACGTGCTAATGTTTTCCACTGTAAAATTAGATGTCTCCCAATGGAATTACCCATTATGTGTATGGAAGTGATCGTAAATCAGCTTACAGGTTATAGTAAATTTATATACAAGGTAGTCCCACAAGTATGATTTATCATTTTGGTTTTATTTCTTACTCACGATGAACAATACACAGTGTTTGTATACCGTTAACGGAAAATAAAATAATGAAATTTGTATAATCATATTTATATAAAATAAATACACGCCTTGTAAATACACGAAAAACGTGCTTAGTTGTCTTATAAGACTGTGAAATATGTTTGTTAGTCGTTACTTAACTAATGGGAATAAAATACATAATTTTGATAAATGTTGTTATCTTAGATTATGAACGTCATTGAATAATAAAAATTAGTTTTCACTTGTGAAAAAACAAAAATTGAATAATAGTACAGAATAATTATTTTAATGTTTGGCATAAGACTTTAATTTTTTTTTTTTAGCAACTAATGGAAAAAAAATTACAGTCATACTTATGTATATTTAAAACTTAAACTATACATTAACAGTTATTTGTTTGGAAATAAACGAAATAATTTGTAAAAGAAACATAATAAATAATAGGTAGGTATAATATATTATGTATATTTTATTATTTATTTAATCAATTAAACAAATTCACCACAAATTCCGTAGACATTTTAAAAAGTATTATTATGAAATTTCTACATACTATTTGGATCTTTAATAATTATTTGGAGTTATTTAATTTATAAATAAAAACAAAAGTACATAAATTAATGAAATACGCATATTTAAAAAAACACATGTCCTTAGTAGATAACTTGATGAAGAAAACTTGATACATGTATTAAAATCAACATAAAACAAGAATATTTACTAGAATATTAAAAGATTTCACGTATATTATTTTTATAATTATATAGATACATAGAAGAGTTTAATGTAATAATATTTAACACAATACTTTTATTTTATTTATATTCCACATAATAAACAGATGAACTGTGTGTAAAAATGATATTTTAAATCAATTTGAATATGAAATGTTTCCACAAAATGCGCTGTACCCAAAACTTAACAATGTCAAATCAAAATAATAAAATAAAATTGTTTTTCATATTCTATTAATAAAGTTTTTGAAAAGAAATACAGCAGACTAAATTCGAATTATTATGGTATGCTATTCAGATTTGAAAAGTTTTATATTTATTGATAAAGCACATGATAACTACTCGAAATGATTGTATTGTTTATTGTGAAATAATATAGTAAATTTAAGTATAAGATTATTAATAACATAATAATATAATCTCCGTGTATGAATGATAATATAATCATTGTAAATACTTAATTTTCTATTGATAATGAAAAATAAATTATTTATAACTTTTTCTTAATATTACCAAACATAATATATAGGAACACTTAGGTATATATTATTTTTTTCTAACGAATTTAAAATTATACGTATTATTATGTATTTAATTTATTGCTTTAAACCCTAAAAAAAAAAAAAAAAATAATAATAATAACTTCTGTATAATTATTATAATTATTCTAAGGCAATACAATTTTTTATTGACTCATGTACGATAATATTATATAATATGGAGTATTTTTTTAAGTAATACCATTGAGTATATACACTGAATGGTAATACGTATACTGTGTTTTTTTCTTTCGATCATGATTTTTTCTTCGGCAAGTAAAGAAATTAAAATAATTTTATATGCATATTCATGACACGCAAACCCACTGACCAATTTGTCTATGGATAACTACTACGCATTAGTAATTTATTATAATAATTTGAGATAAATCGTAATTTAATATATTTCGGTGTTGTATTAAAATAATTATTATGTGACAGTGAATGGCTATAGTAGCTAAAGTTAAATATAAACGATAAAAATAAATTATATTTACGAGTATTATTTATATAGGTATAAAAATAAGCATGGTTTATTTTGTTTTTACAATAAACATAATTCATATATCATACTTTATAAACATATTCTGTTTTAATTTCTCGGAAAATAGTCATGAGAGAAGAATGTGGATTAAAAAGTATGTAATTGTTTCTGTATAGTATACTTGTTTAACTATATTTAGATTGACTAAAAGATTAGTGAAGTATAAAATAATATTATATTTCAAATAACATAAACTACAAACAATAATTAAATAGGTATAACTCTTCTACAAATCCACCACGCACACGCATACACAGAAATATCTACTAACACATTTATTTGAAATACATTTCATCACTTTTGTTGGATACAATGAATTTAATTTTTATATTAGTAAAATCCACTTTTTTAAAGTCGTGTAAGAACTTAAGAAAGATAATATAATGGTAATTACTGTTTTTTGTATTCGTTTTGGTACTAGAGTAATCAGGTTCGTTATAAAAATATGTTTAAATATATGAAATAGTAAGGAAAATTATAAGTAAATAGATAAATGTTAAATTATGGCTTGCACTTATAAATATTCATTATTATTTATTTAATTTATCGTATATTATAACAATTTTATTTAGTTCATTATCTTAACTAGTGTATTGAGTCCAATTAACAACTTTTTTCTATGCGTTAGTATATATAAATTGGGACCAGACTTGAGTCCAATAAGTGAATCAATCTATTTACTACAAGTCCAATAAGCTTCGTTAACTATGTATTATACTATACAACTATAAATTTAATAAAAAAAAAATAATGGATAGTTTAGCTAATGTAATTTATTTTAGTTTCTAGACAATCAATAGATGGATTTTAATAGAAAATAGCAAGAAAATAATTAATAAAACTAAAAAATATATGTAAAATATAAATGTATTTTTAACAAAATAAAATTTGGAATCTAATAGACCGTTAAAGGGAATTTTTTGAAATACATAGAGTTTTAAACGGAAAATGAAAGAAATTAATATATTTTTATACAGAGGATTCTAGAACGTCAGTTTTTTTTTTTTTTTTTTGTTATTAGATTATTTAGAAATGGAAATATTTTCATATACTAAGAAAATTATCCAAAGTTAAATGCGCGTTTCAGATGTTCATTATATGAGTTCCCGTGAATTTGTTCAATGGGTTTTCTTCACAAAAACATATATTTTTGATAAAACAAATTTAATTAAATTAATTATACAATAAAAACAATTTTAATAGTTCCTTTAATTCGGTAAAAATATTTAACATTATTGCATTATATATTTAGAGATTAATATTATCAATTATGATGGTAATTGTATTGATACATAAAAAGAGTGGTTGAAAAAGTAATAAAAACAAAAAATAATTTGTGTGTGAAGATATTTACGTTTGAAGATGAATTATATTTACTATACTTTTCAAATTTCGATAAAATATTTTTAAAAATAAAACTAATTATATGGTTGTATAATTATTGTAAACAAGTATGAAAATCAATTCACATGAGTTCAAATAAAGGTCAATTAATGCAATTGTATACTGGTTAAAATGTTAAATATGTCACTGACTTGTTTCCCTTTATAACATTAAGTTAATTCCAACGACATTATGACTGACAGCAACCTTATCTTTCAACCGTCTTGTCAACCAAACAAACAAAAACTATTTTAGAATATCACTAAATCAAGGTCTGTTCAATTTATTCACTAAAACGTGAGAACGACCTGTTGAATTTATATGAATCTATTTATGATCAACTAAAATAATTTAAAGAATATCAGTACAAACATTACAAGTTAATTTGTTTATTTATTATTTCAATTTTTTTCTATGCTATGGTTTACTCTTTTTAATAGCGTGTACAATATATCTGGGTCTAATATGAACAAGTAATGACTTACTTATAATATGTTGTACCTAGGTTGATCACTATTTTTGTTAAAATAATATAATATAGAGATACCAATAAATACTTAAAAATGTGTATAATATACATCATACACATTCATATATAACACTCATATATAAATTTTTTCATACAATTTAAGTAAAAATACTAAAAACTGAACATTTATCTCTTAAGAGTACCCTCGAGATTTAGTGTACGAACAGTAAAGGTTTTTTATAAGGTATTTTGTATATTTTTAGTAAAAAAAAAATAACAAAAACTATATTTTTGCTTAAAATTAAAAATAATATTAATTTAGTAAATAACATATATATCTTAAATCTACATGTATTTCGTATAATTGTATATTATAAAATTATATTTTGCACCATTATGTTCTCTCTAGTGTACTTAAGCTACTTCGTTACACACATATCTTTAATTTTAAGTACTTGCAATTAGCGGTATTAATGAATAGTGTGAAATACTTGAAGAAATCTTTTTATTATATATGTCTTCTGTCATTAGTAGTGAAGCAACCATTTATGAAACAGCTACTTATATTATTAAAAATGAATACATCTTTAGAATTTGTATGATATTTTGAATTTCTTATTCTGTGTAAAATATTAAGTGGTTATTAAAATACAGCACATCAATATAATATTAGAAATTAGTTTACCTGTTATTTTTTTTTTTTTTTTTATGTTCAGTAATATATGAACCCTAAAGTGTATTTTTAACAAAAATTGTTTTAATTCATTTCACCTTTTTTTTTTGGTTGGCTTAATGAATAAAATTAATTGATGAATAATTTCTATAGAAAAGTTGTCCATAGCAAATATATTTCGATAGGATTATTCAAAACTATCCAACATGTTTTATAGAACAAGTTTAAATCATATTCACATGAATATATATTAGATGTATTAAAATATTTTTTAAACATACTTTAATCTTGTTGAGTACGAACATATAATTATATCATAAATATACAAATTATAAATTAATTTTTCTGTAAAATGTATTAAAGTAATAAAATACTTTAAGTTATTATTAATTATTTTTGTAAAAATAATTTGAGATTGTTTTTGTTTCAATCTAATGTTTCTAAGCAAGAGAAAATAGAATAAATATTATATAATAGTTGAAGTAAATA